GGCCGCAATAGGTATCAATTTTTTCATCATGGGTGTCACTTTCATGGTTTCCGAGGGTGTTGAAGCTGATAGTGCTGTCGAAATGTAAATCCAAGATGGCGGCTGAATTAGGTACCAATTTTTTCATCATGGGTGTAATTTTAATGGTTTTCGAGGGTGTTGAAGCCGATAGTGCTGTCAAAATGTAAATCCAAGATGGCGGCTGCAATAGATATCAATTTTGTCATCATGGGTGTCATTTTCATGGGTTTCGAGGATGCTGAAGCCGATAGTGCTGTCGAAATGTAAATCCAAGATGGCGGCTGAAGTAGGTACCAATTTTTTCATCATGGGTGTAATTTTCATGGTTTTCGAGGGTGTTGACGCCGATAGTGCTGTTGAAATGTAAATCCAAGATGGCGGCTGAAGTAGGTACCCATTTTTTCATCATGGGTGTCATTTTCATGGTTCTCGTGGGTGTTGAAGCCGATAGTGCTGTCGAAATTTAAATCCAAGATGGCGGCTGCAATAGGTATTAATTTTTTCATCATGGGTGTCATTTTCATGGTTTTTGAGAGATTTGAAGCCGATAGGGTTGTCGAAATGTAAATCCAAGATGGCGACTGCAATAGATATCAATTTTTTCATCATGGGTGTCATTCTCATAGTTTTCGCGGGTGTTGAAGCCGATAGTGCTGTCGAAATGTAAATCCAAGGTGGCGGCTGCAATAGATATCAATTTTTTCATCTTGGGTGTCATTTTCATGGTTATCGAGGGTGTTGAAGCCGATAGTGCTGTCGAAATGTATTTAAACTACTTTAAAAAATTCCGTATAACCATGTTATACAGAATTTTTTTAATGCGCTTAAGGTATGCCCAATTGGATTTACCAATATATTTATTTTATCCTGGTGATCCTGATCAGAATACTGGAATAAATTTATTAAATTATTGTACTCTTATCGGTCCTTGATACGACTGCACAGTTTCAAGTCGATAAACCTTCTACAAGTTGTTGAAAATTACATTAAATTATCCCGTTACATAGATAGATAGACGTGAAGCTAATAAGAGCGGGTTAAAAAAAAAAAGAAAAAATGAGTTACAAAAAAAGAAGAAATAAGTTTATATTCTGTGTAGTGGCATATCAGACCGTGGTGGGTATCGTGAGAAGCGACAGAAGGAAACTGAACTGAAATATTGGCAGCAGCACGTTTACTGATAACTGCTAAAGATAATAAAAAATCTGTGGTTGTCAATCCACCTGCCAATATTGTAAACTATGACAATATCCCCCTATGAGTCAATCTATGGTAAACAGATCCAGACCCAGAACAATTATTTATAGGCCAAACAAATGCTTGTTCCGTGCAGGATTCGAGCCCGCGGACCTGAGCGCCGTTTTTTTCTTGCATTATCATTCGAATTTCAGCTGTATTCAAAATTTCAAATTTCCAGATCATTAATTTTTTTTTTTTATAGAATAAGGGTGACAATCGTGCACACAGTCTACCTGGTGGTAAGTGGTTGCCGTGGTCTATAGACATCTACATCTATCCTCTATTACAAATCAAAATGAAAATGCGTTGTCACCCGTGAGGACTAAGATGGAATGCCTCATTTCCAGTAAAAAGGGTCTCCGGTTCTCTACACTCACCATACGAAACACAGCAGCTCTAAGCTACTATTTTACGCTGGTATTCTGTGAGAGCGTGGTCCTTCCCCGGTCGAGCCGACCCATTCGTGCTATAACTATACTATTAGTATAGCTGCAGCATGGATCTACCGCGTAAAACTCATGGCTACAGATTAAATATAACATTATTTATGTGCCACGAATTTGACAATTGTATAACAATTACTTAGTTATTGTGAAATCTCTAAAAAGGCAAGGCTGGCCAAGGATGGTCTTTACGTGGTAGAGCCATGCTGCAGCTATATATTAGTAGTATAGTTGTAGCACCAATGGGTCGGCTAATTTAAATTTTTTGGCGTTTGTATCTTTTTTTTTTGTGATATAGAAAAAAACGTATTTGTTGATAGAATTATTACTCGAATAGCTCCTGCCTAAATTAGATAAATATAAAAGATAAAATTTTAGTTCTTAGTAAACAGCGATAAGAAGTTCCATAAATCGTAATTGATATTCTTAGGTACCTATATAATCGGCGGCGACCTCTCGCGTCCGGCTCTGGTCGAAGCCATGGTCCGGAGCGAGACGGAATGGGATGCCGTCACCACCTTCTGCGAAGCAGTGATGCTAGCGAAGGAGGTGGCGGAGCGGGAGAAGGAAAGAGCAACAGCTTTCCTTCCCGGCCGCCGCGGGAGACGCCCCGGGCGTCGGGGGCTACGTCGTGGCCCCCGACCACCGTAGGCGCGGGCCTGTGGACGGCGAGCAATGGGTAGCTCGCCGTCCGTCCGTCTAACGACGACAGGCCGTGTCGACGGCGCGTTTTGTTCCACGCGCGCCTCAAAGAGCTGTCAGCAGCGTGAAGGGGCCCGCAAGGGCCGACGCCTGCCGGGGCTGCGGGCTGTTCGAAAGAGATACCGCGGCTCCGGAACGTAAGGGCACTGAAGGAACACGGATGGTTTTTAGTCAGTAAAAGTCTGACACTCCCTTCCGCTCCACCCACAGCGAAAGGCGTCATTAGATGATTTTCCATCCGCAAAAAAAAAAAAAAAAAGGTACCTATATAATGTCAATCTAAAATGTCGATATCTGCCATCTAGCGACGAATAGCGCTTGATATTCTAAACATCTCACGCCATCTATTGATAATTAACAACTTTCTTTATTAATATCATCCTTATTCATATTATATTTCATTTCTGCTACTTTAAAAGTTTCTAAAAAAATATTTATTATTAATCTGGCAGCGCTATTTCGTTTAGGAAGATTTGCTAAGAAGATTTGCCAGCACTGGGTTACAAAATACCATAGAGTCATGGAAATACATGTACTTTGTACAAACCATAGAATACTACAGATTTATGCTGTCAACTGTCATCTGTCACTGCTTAGTAGTTGTCATACGTCAAATCAAACTTACATTTGAGGTTATGTTTTATTTTTAGTTTAATAATTTACTTATTTAATTTCCTAATATAATAAGTCTAAGGTAAGTTACAGTGCATATAATAAATAAATACCATCCTTGTGATATCATTTGAAAATATTTTAAAGTCATTAATTTAGCCTAACCTAATTTAATATTTCATTTTAGATGAATCTTATAAGAAGAGGTATATCTCTTTTAACCAGAGGAATTAAGGAGCAATGCACTCAAATATCAGGTATTCTTTTAGAATATAATCTTTTATGTTACATTTCTATCGTATGTTTTGGTTTTTTAACTTTATTATAATAATGCTATTGATCAACTTTTCCATTTGGTATTTGTTTAAAATTTAAATTATTAAACAATATTTGAATTAAAAATAATTTACAGTACGTAAATTATTCTGTTTACATTTATATGCACATTGCTAAAATTTGTTAATTTTGTGTTATAATATTTTAAATGGTTATTTTTGTCTCATATCTTTAACATGTCAGAAATTGGTTTTCTGGAAGTTATTTATACTTGTAGACGAGCTTTAACTTTGAAAATAAAAATAATTCTGCATTTTTAATATTTATTTAAATAGAGACTTAGTTTGACAAGGCATTTACATTAATTCTTAAGTAGATATTTGAAGGTGTCTATTAACCACATCATCCACTTACCATCAGTGGATTGTGTGCTTGTTTCTCACCCTTATTCTATAAAAAATAAGCATTGACAATATTATGAACACAGATGTGTGTTTTTGAAATTAGTTTAATGCTACTATCTTCTTTGTGAAATATTTCTTAGCTTTAATTAAAGACTTTATTTTTCTAAACAATGTGTCTAATAGTATGTCATTTCACTATCAAATAAGCTATCATAGAATCATAGATAAACAGAAAAATAATACTATAATACAATTTGATGTCACTGTCTAATGGTTTTGTAAAAATATCCACTACCCCCACACATATTGTCCCATGGGTGTTATAAGATGCCAGAGAAGGTACTAAACTAGGAGATGGGCAGCAGTGTTTTTGTAATAACTACTAAAAAGCAGAAAACTGTGGTTACCAACCTGCCTGCTAAAAGTGGCAACCATGGCAAATAAGACAATGTATGGGGATGTTTGGAACGGTAGACTCTTAATAGGTTGTAATGGTAACATTTTGATAAATTATGGGGGCTGAGTGGAAAAGTTTTCAGAGATATAAACAGAGACTTAATCGCAAACCCATCATCCCAATCCGAACCAATATTTTTGCAAAACACTGATTATTTCTGTATTTCAAAACATCAGAGCGAAAACATAAATTCTTGCACTATATGTAGTTTGTAGCTTTAAATATTACACATTTATGTATTGGCTAAGTATGAAATACATGTGGTATGTGGAAAAGAGATTATGTATCACCATTTGTCAAATTACCGAAGGAAATTTTAGATGTTATTACCACATTAATATAAATAAAAAATGTAAAACTGGACTTAGTATACAAGTAGCCAAGTGACCAAGCCGAAGTAGTGTATAGTGGCGGTGTTAGAATATCCACTACCCCATATCATCCTGTGGGTGTAGTAAGAGGTGACAGAGGGAAACAAATGAGGTGATGGGCAGCAGTGTCTTTCTAATAATTATTAAACTTAAAAAACTACAGTTGCCAACCCACTTGCCAAAGAACATCGGTCAAATACGTCCTGACCAAAATATGGAACGACGACCAATGATTGAAACATCAAAAAATAGTGACGTAGGTGTATATTAAAATACGGGGTTCAACTTATTTTATTGGAGCCGGTAAAATAATTTAGCTTTGTAATGAAAAACATCATTTCCTTACTAATTTCTATAGGTTTTGAATGCATCTAAACCTGTTCTCTTTTTATCTGTGGTTCACGTTTCATCATAACACTAAAGTAACACTACCATTATGCTTTTACTTTTTTTAAATACTAGATTTTATTGCAGATTTTTTATTTAGTTTTGTAGTGTATTATCAATAATATCATTTTTAGATGGGGAAATGGAAAGTATTCCGAAATAAGTTGCAAATCATAGGTTGACAGTAAATATAGAATGCACCTATACTTACAACGGAATGTATTATCAGTGTCTCTCTGCAGTCTGTTGTATTATGACACGAGAGCTGTCAAAGCGTGAGCAAATGTCAAAGCACCTATGTCTTAGATACTTCGCAGTGAAAAGATTAGAAAGGTTATTGATTAATTTTTATGGTTTTAGCTATTGACTTGACTTATTGAGTTAAGTATATATTACTGCATAGTTTTCATATCAATTGTTTTAGCTGAGGTTGTAGTCAATGCTGCAGTCATAGCTACATTCTATGATCCTTGGCTTTTTAGTTTACGACGGGCTGTTTTCCGCAACTCCACGTCTATGCGCGTATTTTGCGCGTGGGCAAGAATAATATGCTTATTCGAGCCATGAGATCTCCCCGAAGAAGCTCAACAGTTCTTTGATGTTGCTTGCAACATCAAAGGACTGTTGGGAGTGATTCCAACAGAGAGTGATCCCGGCGTGCCGAGATGTTTAGCCCTGTACGTAGCGACCTCCGGACATTTCAATATCACATGGGCCGCCGTTTCTTCTTCCCCCATACATGCCCTGCACAGGGGACTATCTGTAACACCTATAGTAAATAAATGCTTGTTAAAGTTGCCGTGTCCTGTGATAGCACTTGTTACTACGAGTATCCTGATCTGCGGCTTGTTCAGTCTCATTAGAACTTTGGTTAAACGACTGTTTATTTCAGGCAGGGCCTCCCTAGCTTGTCTACAGTCTACTAGATTTTTCCAAAGCTGAGCGTGTTGATTAGTGAAGTGTCTACATACCAGTGAATGAACATTACCAAAGGGGATTGGTATGATTGGTTCCGGCACTATAGTGGCCAGAGCCGATCCTCTTCTGGCCAGTTCGTCTGCTGCATCGTTGCCTCTGGATCCACTGTGTCCCTTTATCCATTGTAGAGTCACATTGTTGTTTTTACATACCTCATTTAATCGTTGATGGCATTCATATATTAGTCCCGAGTTCACCACATTGCAACTCAGAACTTACAGTACCGCCCTACTGTCGGTCAGTATTCTGATGGGGAAGTCATTAACCTTCCTAGCATATATTGCTATGGCCGCTTGAATGATACCCATACATTCCGCCTGAAAGACTGTGTTATAGGTACCCAGCGGTGTGCATATGTGGATATTGAGCTCTTCAGAGAAACTTCCAGAACCTACACCTTCATTTGTTTTAGAACCATCGGTGAAAATTCTAAGCTCTTTTGGGCTTAATCCTGCCGGCTGGCTGGTTTCATTTAATTGTATCTTATACTTCTTATTGAATACAAATTGTTTAGGAATTTTTGAGTGAATTCTATCAATTGTGCCTGTATGAGGGACTCTATTCTTACTCCAAAGATTTAGGGTCTTGAGTCTGATGGCATCTAAAGTCGCTTCTTGTTGTATATGTAGATGAAGCGGGGTTAGCTCTAGCATCGCTTCTAAGGCTGCTGTTGGCGTAGTCTTTATGCAGCCTGTGGCAGCCATACATGCCAGTTTCTGGTAGCGCTGAAGCTTCTTTATAGTGGTGGCTTCATTTGTCTTGGTCCACCGTACCAGAGCGCCGTATGTGATCATGGGCCGAATTACAGTTTTGTACAGCCACAGTATAATTTTTGGCGTCAGTCCCCATCTTTTGACAATCATGTTTCTGCATTGCCAGAAAGTTATACTAGCTTTGTTGATTTTGTTATCTATGTGTTTATTCCAGTTAAGTTTGCTGCTCAAGGTAAGACCTAAATATTTTACCTCAGAGGATAACTGGAGTTTTGTGCTGAAAAGACTTGGGAGATGATAGTTATTCAGCATTCGTTTTTGTGTGAACATTACTTGAACCGTTTTATTTGGATTAACGGTTAAGTCGTATTCCCTGCACCATCTCTCCACTATACGGAGAGCCGCTTGGGTCAGGTCGCACACTATGCTTGCTGTCTTTCCAGAGACCAGTATTGTCAGGTCATCAGCATAACCTACTGTGTAGAAGTGATTGGCATTTAATTTGCTGATGAGTTCATTAATGACCATATTCCACAGGAGAGGTGAGAGATCCCACCCTGCGGGCAGCCTTTCTTAATTTGGATTGGTTGAAATTCACTAGCAATCTTTATTATTCGTGTACTGAGCATGTTTACTATCCAGTCAATCAGTGCCGGTTCAACTTTATGGCTACTGAGTGCACATTTTATGCTCGAGAAATTCGTTCTATCAAAAGCACCTTCTACATCAATGAAGGAACCTAGACATATTTCTTTGTTTTGGATAACCTCTTCAATCTTTGTTATTACCTGGTGAAGTGCCGATTCTGTTGATTTGCCTGGACTGTAGGCGTGTTGCTTATCGTGTAGTGGTAAGTTCATTAGCGCCTACCCCCTTAATTCCCTTTCACACATCCTCTCCATTGTCTTTAGGAGATAGGATGTGAGGCTAATGGGCCTATAGGATTTAGGATCTGTGTAGTCGCTTTTACCTGGTTTTACCAGTCTTTTGCTGTTAGTGTCAGTATGTCGTCATGCCGGTTTGCCTCCTGAGTTGCGCAGCAGCCTGGGAAGTGCGTTTCAATTAGGATGCGTTGGGCTTCATCCGGCGATGTTGAGTAGCTACCATCGGGTTTCTTTAGAGAGATGGATCCCGACGTGTTCTGTTTGGCTAAAATATTCCTTATCCTATTCGCTTGTTCGCAGGTTTCTATGTTGCCACAGAATTTACGCCACCCCTTCGAGCGTCGATACCTGATACATTTTTTGTATTCGGACTTAGCTTTCTTGTATAGTAGCCAGTCTTCATCCATTGAGGTATTCATGGCCCTATTTACGGCTTTCCTTACCTTCTTACGTTTTCTGTCTAGTTTTTTACCCTACCACGGTTACTTTACCTCAGCATGCCTTGGTGGAGTGATTTCTGGACATGATTCATGGTAGATATCTATCATGGCTTTAGTAGTTTTTTACGTAGTAGAGCCATGCTGCAGCTATATTATGGTTGTAGCACGAATGGGTCGGCTTGACCGGGGAAGGACCACGCTTTCACAGAATACCAGTGTAAAATAGCCGCTTATTGCTGCTCTGTTTCGTATGGTGAGTGTAGAGAACCGGAGACCCTTTTTACTGGCAAAGAGGCATTCCATCTCTATCCTCACGGGTGACAACGCATCTGCATCTTGAGTCTTTA